AAAAAATATTTTTGAAAAATGTATTTAATAGTGTTTCTTAAAGTGTTCTTTCAAATATGATCCTCATCAAGAGAACCAACGCTCCAGAATAATATTTTTAAAGTTCTTCTCCCTCTTATAATTCTCTTTTCTCCATCCCCTTCTAATCTCTGGGCTGCAAGTCCATAGTTTTGCCCACTGCAAACACTTTTGGGAGACCAGCACGTACTCACAGAGGAAAGGATGAAGAGGACTTTGAATGTTATCAAACCCAGTAGTTTCAAAACCTGGCAGAGCATCCCAATAGACAACCTGGGACTTGCATTAAAAAGGATACTAGGTCTCAGCTTTAGTTCCCAATTCAGTGGGTCTGCAGTGGAGTCCAGAAATCGGTGTACTTTTTATAGTTGAAAAAAAAGGGGCCTCCAACAGGCACCACTAAAGCCTCCAGATCAAGTATTCTCTAGCGGCCGGAGGTTTGGAAGATCACCCACTATTTTGGTTTCCAGCTTGGACAGTTGCTGAGGGATGGTTTCTCCCACTTCTCTGGGTTCGGTCGACAGGGCCTTTCTCGCCCCGCCCTTTCCCTCTTACCCCTCCCTGGCCCCTCCCATATCCCCTCCCTCTCCCCTCCCCGGCCCCCCCTGCGGGACTCTTGGGCGGGGCTTCGCCGCTGCCACGCCCCTCCGCCTTGGCCGACGCCGCGTGGGCGGYCCCGGAAGCTGTCAGTCTGACGGTCGCGGAGCTGATTGGTCTTTCGTGGTCATGCACTTCTCCCGGKTTTTCCCGAGTTGTTTAGGTTCAGGTCCAGAAAAGCGAGCGTGGCCAGGATGAGTGAGCCCTTGCGGGAACTGCGGGGACCTCTGCTCCCGCCCAAGGACCCGGTGGAGGAGGAGGAGGATGACTATCTAAAGGAAGATGTGGAGGAAGATGAAGACTCCGTGTTCGTGGACGCCGAGGAGCTCTGCAGTGGCGGAGTGAAGGCTGGCAGCCTCCCCGGGCGCATCGAAGGTTGGGAAGAACCCTGCCCCGTCCGGGGTGGRCTGGGAGGAATCAAGGAAGAGTTTCCTTCTGACTCTGTACCGAACCAGGTGCCCTGTCGCTGCCCACAGTCTTAGTTTGGGATGGCTTAACTGCTTTATTCCTACTTAGTGATAATATCTCTCATCAGTGCTGTGTGTTAGACCTGAACTTAACGTGTCATCTCATTTAATGTTAGTAGTTATGTGAGGCGGTTGTATAGTTAAGGAAATAGGGATGTAAAGCCTGAATTGCCACCAACATCAGGACTTTTAATTAGAATGTCCAGAACGAAACACGTGGTTATTCWTTAGCTACTTAGGGGAAAATATACAAGGAACATCCCAGCATATTCTGAATATGTTTAACTTGTGTTAATAACCTTGTGATTTTTGTTGACTTTTTTTTTTTGCCGTTTTCTGTGCTGGATTATACCTGTTGTGTCTATGTAGTGACTGGTATTTAAGATTATTTTGATGTGTAGAACCATTGTTGTCCAGTAGAAATTTTTGAAATGTTGTCCAGTCTAATAGCTGCTAGCTACATGTGGCGATTTAGAACTTGAAATGCTAGTGCTACTGAGGAGCTGAATTTTAAGTTTGATATAAACTATAAATTTAAATAGCTACATGTAGGTAAGCAGTTAAGATTTAGATAGAAAAAATTCAAGTGTATGTGGATGGTTTAGTAATTTTTTCTGAAGTATTATCAACTGGTTACTATGTTCAAACTGAGATGTTTGGTGCTGGCATGTTCCTCAGAGGTAAAATGATAAGGTTACTGTCTTAATAGAGCTCACCCTCTAGTGAATTAAATAGGGATTCTTTGATCACAGAAGAAATATATTACTTAATATTTAAAGGAACATTAAATAGTGCTTTGAGAGTTTATATTCATAAGATTCAGGCAGGGCTTTCCAGAAGAAGTGACAATTAAGCTGAAATCTGTAGTAGATGTAATAATCAGTAGGGAGAACATTTAAGGCACATAGAATAACTTGTGCAAAGGCCCTGTGGTGCACCAAGGGATTTTTTAAAATATGCTGCATAAAGAATGCTGCATAAAGACTGCTATTGGCAGATGTCAGAGTACGCKCGTTCCTGTCACTGGTATGGTCAATTAGTCACTCACCTACCTCAGTGGCAGGAGGGTAGAGACGCAGAATAAACAACAGATTCTAGGAGCTGGTGAGAAAACTGGCTGGTGAYAAACCTCAGTCRATGTATTTTTGTAACAACTGTTATAGGGTTCGAGTGGGTGTGCCCATCAATCATACGTAAGCAAGATAATATCCATAAGCCAATCATCTTCTGCCTAATGTAACCACGCTGTGAGGAAACTCTAAATATTGCTGTCTGTGAGGAAACTCTAAATATTGCTGTCGTGGTGGAAAGCAATCTGGAAGGGTCTTTGTCCCTAAGGGAAGGGGCTTACTGAGTCAGGGATTTCATGCCCTGAAGCCCCTGGCTCTCGGGTTTTCTGGCTGATAGTTTGGCAATGCTAACCACAAGTGCTGAGGATGTGGTTTCACCCCACCCTGCAGGCGCTCCTGTCAGGCCTGAACGAACATGGATTCTTCAAGCACTCCGAGCTGCTGATAGCTGCTAGCTGCAATTGAAAGTTATTCCAACATCAGAGTATCAAGGAGAAGACTGTTCTAGAAAGGAAACATCAGATACTTGTCATGCAAATACTGTGCTTATCTTTTGGAATACAAAGATGTATGAAGTAAATCTGTCATTTTTAGACATTTATATAATATGAAGAAAACTAGAATGTGAACAGCATGTTTTGGCTTACTGTTTCAAAAGCTGTCTACTTTTATTAAAATTATTTTTTCATGTGTTTCAAAAAAAAAAAAAACAAAGATGTATGAAGCTTGCAGTGTAGTAAAGGAAGGCAGATAAGCAGATAGGCAGGATGAATTGCTGTAGGTATGTTAGGAGCACTTAAGCACCCTCTACATCACCCTATAGGTCATATGTCTGTATGGGTTGMTGTGGAGGGATTAAAAAGAGTGGTGGGTTTGTTAAAATATCAGGGAAGAGGCTTTTAAATCTCCTAAATTAACTTCTTTCCCCTTTAGTTTTAATTCCTGATGAAAATACTCAAGAAGAATGTAAGGTGTTTGGACGTTTTCCAATAACTGGTGCGTGGTGGCGAGTGAAGGTCCAGGTGAAGCCTATGGGATCGAAGAGCTATCAAGTTCAAGGATTTCCGTCTTACTTTTTACAGTCTGATATGTCACCACCAAATCAAAAAAATATCTGTTCCCTCTTTCTTAAAGAGTGTGATTTCTCCACTGATGACATACAAAAATTTTTAGCATGGGTAAACAGTGTATCAAGCTATAAAGACCTCAACTTTGAAAATATTAGAGAAACATTAAAATCTTTCTACAAGGCAGAAGCAAGGAAAAATAAAAAGAAATCTGCACAGAATGAACAGGAGGAGTTACTTGATGGTGAGATAAGCATTCCTCTGGACAATAAAAGTAAGTATAATTTGATCATGAGTTTTAGTGTAATTGAGAGACTGAATGACTGGAGTGTTTGAAATAGTACCATTGTCACATCTTGGCTTAGTAAGGGTTGAGTGTCTCAAATCTGAAAATCTGAAATGCTCCAAAAATCTGAAACTTTTTGAGCACCAACCTGACAGTGCCAGTGACACTTTCTGATAATTTATTATACTCAAACTTCATTTCATGCACAAAATTACTAAAAGTATTATATAAGATTATGTTCAGTTTGTATGTGTAGGGTGAATAGGAAAACAGGTGGATTTCATGTTTTGACTTGAATTCCATCCCCAGGATGTCTCATGTACTTGGAAATATTCCAAATTCTGAAAATATACAAAATCCAAAACACTTCTCCCAAGTATTTCAGATAAGGCATCCTAGACTTGGATTCCTTTTAAAAATCAGTTTAATGGAAATGTATTTGGTTGCTTTTGGAGGGCAAAAGCATGGGCAGCTCAAGTTGTGTAATATGAAGGGACTGCATGAAATTATCCTTAAAGTCCTTTCCAAGTTCCTTTCTGGCTCTAAAATTATAATTCATTCTCTCTCTCTCTCTCTCTCTCTCTCTCTCTCCCTTTCTCTCTCTCTCTCTCTCTCTCTCTCTCTCTCTCTCTCTCTCTCTCTGACTTTTGAGTTCTCAGAGAGTATCTTGAGTCCTTAAGAAAAAGTTGTTAATTATTCTTTTTTAAGAAGGCAGAAGAGAAAAGCAAGGCTATGAGTAAAGCATTTTGAGAAGATTCCAGTTCAAAATGATTTAAATTTGGTTTGTTACCTGGATATTCAGATATGTGGAATATTGCTTTTCTTAGTTTTACTGAATTTTGTGTTACATCAATAAATGACTTTAAGGACAAAGCAATCATAATTACAGTTGAAAAACTGATATATAATAAAGGTAATGTGTCAATTATTTTTATGCTTAGCTTTAAATTTATCTTTTTGTAACTGAGTCAGAATTTTTCTTTTTATATAATCATACGTTCTTTAACTGTTATGAGTGTATTATAATTATACATATTAGTGGGGTTCATTTGCTCCAGTTCATTCCACAGTACTTGGCCTTTCCCTCCCTGCTTCCTGCCCTCTGTTCCTTTTCAATTTTTCTTCTGATCTTCCTTCTATTTATTTACATGCTTATTTTTTTCATTAGTGAATTAAAATCAAAGTGGGATTCGTGGTATAGTTATACATGCACATAGCATAATTTGGTTGATTTTATACTCTAGTTCTTCCGCTTTTCCTGCCTCCACTTTGGTTCCCTACTTGAGTCAAAATTTTATTGCAAGTGAAGAGAAACGAAAGGCTTAAGAAGTAGTTATCTATGCRTTTAAAGAACATAGATTTTGGTGTTGAATACATTGAAAACCTTCTTAATATAAAAATGATTGCTATAATATAAATTTTCATACTAGTTAAAGTACATTTATTAATTTCTCTTTGATTTAGATTTCTTGAACTTGTTGTGCTAAATGAGAAAGTCCTTCAAGTTAGTCATTCTCTGGGCTCATTTGAATGTTTTAATTTCTTCTTTTGTCATGTCTTGTAGTTCCATTTATGTATGTAATGACAGGTTTGCAGTTTCCAAAAGTAATGGAATTCCTTCCAGTTCTTCTGCCTCGACACTTTAAGCGGCTCATAAACTCAGGTTCTAAGGAGGTATTGGAAAAGATTGAAGAGATTTTAAGTATACATCCATGGAAGCTGGGATTTAATAAAGTAAGTAGGAAATTTGTTCAACATTTTGTGATCTTATATATACAGCAGAATTTTTCAAATTTGACAGTTTTTGCCTTTCAATGGAAAATATTTTGTATGGATCCCAGTGTTGACTTTTCTTTTGGAGTGTAACAAACTTCTTATGCCTGTTGCTCTTTTGCAACTATGAAATTGGTAAATTTATAAATGAAAACCAAAATAACAAAATGCATGCCTTTCAGATTCTTGGCATTCATTTAATCATATCATTTAATTTAATCTGACAAATCTTTCTTGTAACAAAATTGCCATTTGCATAGATCTCATTGAAAACAAAAATTCTTATGAATTTGGCAATTCCATTCTGCTATGCAATGTAATTTTTCACTATCCAATAGGAACAACATAAAATTTTCATTATTTTATGGTTCATCATGATATCATTTGATTTTCTTTTTGGTGAGGTACCAGGGATTAAACTCAGGGACACTCAACCACTGAGCCACATCCCCAGCCCTATTTTGTATTTTATTTAGAGACAGGGTTTCACTGAGTTGTTTAGTACCTCACTGTAGCTGAGGCTGGCTTTGAGCTCACCATCCTCCTGCCTCAGCCTACCAAGCTGCTGGAATTACAGGCGAGTGCCACCGCTCCCTGCTCATTTGATTTTTAATTGGCATGATAATATCATTTAGAAATTAATTCACTTCTGTTCCTATTATTAGAGGCTAAGAGTGGAAAAGTGGTACTCTGAGGCTCCATGGTGGTGAAACCAAAGGCTGTACTTAAATTTTGGTACTACTTGGTTATAAGTGGTTTTATAAATGAAAATACAATTGAAGAATTCTCTTAAGAATTCGTGGACTCTCAAAAATGTTTGCAGACTCCCAGCTTGAGAAATAATTGGAAAAATGAATTCGTCCTTTAAATCTTGTGACTATAGATTCAGTAGGCTTTGAAAGATAAGATTCTGAAACATCAAATAATCAATACATGTTTATTTAGTGGAGAATGGAGACAAAGCTCTTGAGTTGTAAGAGCCAGATAATATTTTACCTTTATTTTGAACCCCCATCTTTGTAAATGTAAGATATTAAGAGAGATCTAAAATTTATGACTGTCCACATTTCAAGAATTAATTATATACAGAGTTACTACTAAAAGTGTACATTGTGTTAGGTAGATACAATTTAGCAAACATGTACTGAGACCTTACCAGTGAAGAACAGAGATATGATCAGACTCTCGTCCTATCTGGTCATCTGAGCTCACTATCTTCACAGTGAGGAAYAGAACTTGAGTTTTTCTTTGGAGTCAGTTGACAGAGCTTCAGACTAGGGCCAGCCTGCTTTCCTCCTTCTCTGTGTCCTTTCATCTCTGCCACTTCTTTAAAGAAATTGTTTTTAGAAAGGATTAGCTGTCAGTTACTTGATTTTTGTCTTTTTTACTTCCTGGACTAAGTGGAACTCTGTGTTAGAAGCTGTGAGAGCCCCAGATTCTTTCCCTAGAGTGGGCATTAAATGATTACTGTTTCTTATCCTGGCATGGGAACAGGGCTGCACCCTGTTGGTGTTCAACTGAGAGATGCCACACTTGGGGACACCAGGTGATATTGARGCAAAAATTATCTGGTGGTGACAGATTATTCAGTTAGGGAAGAGGCCTCTCCTTTTTCCTGGCCAGTCCCATCTCTGTTCTCAGAGAAGAATCATATGTGGGAAGTTAAGGCCTGGCTGCTGAGGTCTGGGACTCAAGTGGGATAAGGAGGTCTGAATTCCTGCCACTCCACGGTATTGTGTTCATTTCCTAGGTGGCCATTTAAACTACAATCTGGGTGGCCTATACATAGAAACTTATTCCCTCACGGTTGTGAAGATCTCTAAGTCTGGGCTCTGATGGTGACAGGGTTGGTTTCTCCTGAGGCCTCTCTCCTTGATTTGTAGATGGTCTTTCCTCCCAGTGTCTTCACATGATCTTACTTCTGTGCCCATCTGTGTCCCCATCTCTTCTTCTAAGCACACCAGTCATATAGGATGAGGGTCCAGTCTAATGGCCTCATTTATGAGGTTATGATCTCATTTAACCTTAATYACTTCTTTGAAGGCCCAATCTCCAAATCCAGTCACACTATGAGATACTAGGGGTTAGGACTTCATTGTATGGCCTTTATGGGGACACAATTCAGCCAGCGAAAGATATAGAGAGCTCAGGAGGGATGTCTCCATGAAAACAATGGAGCTGATAGCTGACCTGCTGATCTTGGTGGATCTTGAGAAGAGAGTTCTGTGCCTCTTCTACAATTTTTTGGCAGAATTGTTGGTGGACACATAGGAAATTAAGCCAAAAAAAAAAAAATAAGGTAGACATTCACTTCATGATATATACAAAGTCTTACCCGAAATAAACATATTACTTGATTATGAATCCTATTAATATAACCTAATAAACTGATTTAAACTAGATTGATTAAGAAAATGTATCCTATAGAGCCAGGCACAGTGGTGCACATCTGTCATCCCAGTAGCTCAGGAGGCTGAGGCAAGTTCAAGGCCAGTCTCAGCAACTCAGTAAGGCCCTAGGCATCCTAGCAAGATGCATGGAGGTGATAATAAGAGAGAGAGAGAGAGAGAGCGCGAGAGAGCGCTCTTCCTTAGAGAAACTCTTTCCAGAGATGCATGGACGTGATCATAAGAGAGAGACAGAGAGAGAGAGAGAGAGAGCATGAGAGCGAGCTCTTCCTTAGAGAAACTSTTTCCATAGCAGGGAGTTAATAATAAACATCTAAAATATTGTTTTTAAATTCAAGGAATAAGATAAATATTACTTAGAAATGTAGAGATAAATTCTGGGAGGAAAAACAAAGAGTTGATGATGATTCCTTTAGAAGGCCTAGGAAAGAGTAAGCCAGGGGATTCCTATTTTTCATAATAAGCCTTGGAGTATTATTTGACTTTTAAAAATGATGTGTTTATTTCTTGGATAAAATATAATTTTAACTTAAAAATTTTATAGGTCTCCAACCACAGAACAGACAATTAAAAAATTAGTGATATGTTAAGTATGTAGTTTTTCCTCAAAATTTAGTTGAAATATATAATTCTGGGACTTAAAAAATTGTTAGCAAGTAATATAATTCTTACTGGAATTCTAATCTCATAATTATTTACAATTTCTGTAAAAGAAATTTGACCTTCATTTCCTCAAAGATAACCTACAGAGAGCTGAAGCTTTTGCGATGTGAAGCCAGTTGGGTGGCTTTTTGTCAGTGCCCGCCCCTTCTGCAGTTGATGACTGACTTGGAGAAGGATGCCTTGGTCATCTACTCTAAGCTGAAGCAGATCTGTAGAGAACTCGGCCACACATGCATTGAAGGGGACAACTTGACTTCAGAATTGTCAGGGCACATGAGTTTTTACAATGTTTGGCAATCTCTGAAGTTTTTGAAGGACATTGGTATGGTGACGTGTGAGAAGGGCTGGATCTTTCTTTATGACCTTTACCAGGCCGAGAAAGGCATTGCCTCGTCAATAAGTGACCTGATGAAGAGACCTCCATGGCATTTACAGGTCGATGTCAAGAAGGTCCTGGCATCTATTCATACCCCCAAACCCGAGGATTCAGGAAGTGATGATGAAGAAAGTGAACCCAATGAAACAGGGTTAGAAAATTCTAAGGACATTGTGGACCCAGGAGATAGTGACAGCCTTACTTGGGATAATGGTGACAATGAAACTAATGCAGAAGTTAATGAAGTCCACCTGGATCAGGATCAGATGGCTGCCTTGGAAATGATTTGCTCCAATGCTGTGACAATCATCAGTGGGAAAGGTGGCTGTGGGAAGACCACAATTGTTAGCCGCCTTTTTAAGCATATAGAGAAGTTAGAAGAAAGAGAAGTAAAAAAAGCTTGTGAAGATTTTGAACAAGACCAGGATGTCCCAGAAGAATGGAGTACCTTCTTTGAGCAGAGTCATAAGGGGGCAGACAAGGCCATAGAAGTTCTGCTCACAGCACCTACAGGGAAGGCAACTGGCTTACTGAGACAGAAAACTGGGCTTCCTGCTTATACTCTTTGCCAGGTAAAATCTGTGGCATTTTTTTCTATAGATAAAACCTTTGCCATAAAGATACAGTTATTTCTTACTTAAAACAGTAAGTACAGTGTTTCTCAGAGATGGGTCTTGACCAAGTTTCTTCTTACACATCAACTTTGATCGACTGATAGTATCTTACTATCTGTTTGGATATTGAGATAATATTTCTGAAGCCATGTTTAGGTTCAAAACGGAGAGCAAGTACACAGGAGGATCTCTGGAGTGATAATTATTGCATTTATTTATCATCCTTGAATTAGGGTTACCAGACATAGCAGATATTAATATGAATAATTTTTTAATATATGTATATACCAAATGTTGCATGGACATACTTATAACTAAAGGCGAATTGGTGTGGTGGTGGTAATGGTGGTTTTTAAAATGAGGAGGTCATTTATTGTATATTATGTAGTTCATATTTAACTGGACATCCTGTATTTAATTTGGCAATCCCAGCTTGGGCTAGTATGTAGGGATACGTGGCTACAGAGCTCTTGGAGTGATCAGAGTGCTTATGGAGGGGGTGTGTATTGAGATGGTTGTACTAGAAGTACAGTGGAAAGTGTCAGGCATTTCTAAGATCACTAGTTGGATCTAACAGTCAAAAGAAAGGAAACAATTAGAGGTAATTTCAAATATTTTGCTGTGAGACAAGGCCACTGAGAGAATGAGGGTTTTGTTCAACAGAATTGATGCATTTGAATGAGAAATATGAAGGCTTTCTTTAATAAACTTGCTCATTCTAGTTTTAATAGAAAAATTAAATAAGACATGATGAAATACCATATAAAAATATGCATATTGCATATATCCACAGCTATGAAATGGAAATATTTTCTGGCATTAACCAAAATGTTTAATGTTCTCTAGTTGCAATTTGACAATTTTTTTCCTCATTTATATTATAAAAATACTAGTATCACTCCGATAGTAAAGTAGCATCCTTAGGTGAATTGGTGTGGTGGTGGTAATGGTGGTTTTTAAAATGAGGAGGTCAGAAGTTTAGAACACTTGAAAGAAAAAAAGGAGTAATTTTACAATTAGGTTAAGAAGGCAGCTTTTTATTTCCAGAACAAGAGAAGAGAAGGGTTTGAAGGATTGATTGGAATATCTCAGGAAGTCCAGAAGTTTAATTTGGGAATGAAAAAGAATAGGAAGCTTTCTCTGGTTCAGTGTCAATTAGAGAAGTATAATATTTTGGAATAAAACTATGTTTGAAGATTATTAAATTAAATACACTCCTTGCTGGGAAGCAATTTTTGAACTGTTTAATCCTTTTGTTTTTAGATTATTTGATTTATCTTTTTTTTGTGTCKTCATCCCTCTAACTTTTCTGTTCTCTATTTCTTTATCCCTTTCCTTGTCTTTCTTTACTCCTGCTTCATATGTAAGGATTTTGTTTTAAAATCATTTAATTTTTATTAACCTGACTTTAGATATGCCATACTTTGCTTATAGGTCAATTATAGCTTCTATTTATGGGACAAAAAGCAGTCGGAGGAAAAGAAATTGCCATGGAAGTTTTCTTCAGTTAGAGTTCTGGTTGTGGATGAAGGGAGTTTGGTGTCTGTAGGCATCTTCAAGTCGGTTTTAAAATTACTGTGTGAGCACTCTAAACTTTCTAAGCTTATCATCCTTGGTAAGTTACAATATTGATGGAATTCTAATGTTTAGTTGGAAGCACTGCGGTCAGCATATTGTTCCCCTCGTTCCATTGTACCATTTCCTAGGGTGGGAAGCCATCCTCAGTGTCCTCGTCAAGGTGGCACTGAGTTAAGTCTGACCACTCTTAATCACCTTGGGTAGGGCTTTGTTTCGATCAAGATACTAGCAGGTGATGATGAAAGAAATAGAGCTGTCACTACTAAACACCTAAATGATGGCTATTAGAATAGTAAAAGTGCCAGAGAGTCAAAAGAGTTGAAAAGAGTAAAATATCTGAATTATAGACCACTTAAAAAGAAATTTTATGATTTGAAGCTAATTAGAACATGCCAGCCTCTAAAGTCCTCTAATTCTGTTGAGGTTCAGTTAGATTCTAATAAGTAGTGATCTGTGGACTATATGATTTAATGCAGGAAAAAAACCAAATCACAATCTGAGAATCAAATTGTATATAAATATTATTTTTTAGGTCTTTGAAGATGTTTTATAAGCAGCTGATTGTATTAATGGCTGAAGCATTCTTCTTATTTCTACTCAGTACATATATTTCTTATTTTTCTGGTTTGTGTTTTGTTTATTTCAAGCAAAGAGAATTTTTTAACAGTGAAATCTGTTGTCATTAGATTTGTGGAACTTGTCTGTTATCAAATGCTTATTTATTTTATATTTTATGCATTTAGGTAATTGAGACCATAGATTCTTCCAAGTTCAATAAGACATTGAGCAAGACTGAGTAAATGACAAATTACTAGTTTTTTAAAGTTTTTTTTTTTTAACATGTGGGTTAAAATGTATATTCTTCTACAGTTTGCCCATGGTTACAGATTTGAAAGAAGTTCAGTTCGTATTTTGTTACCTTATGGTGTTTTCATCTTTTTAAAAAATCTTTTACTGTTTAATTTGAATGTTGTTTTTTAAATATTTTTAAAATATTTACTGTTCTTAAATAATTTTGAATATGGATTTTGGGGGCTTTTTTTCTCTAAATTATAGCAAGTCCATGTTTATAGTATATATATCAATGGGGAAAAATCAAAATAATTTCTGAAGTTTTAGATGCCAGTTACTAAAACCCACAGTGTCTTTCTTCCCCCCCTTTTAGGTGATGTTAGACAGTTACCTAGTATTGAACCTGGTAATCTGCTGAAAGATCTTTTTGAGACTCTTAAGTCAAGAAAGTGTGCAATTGAGCTGAAGACAAACCATAGAGCAGAATCTCAGTTAATTGTGGACAATGCTACACGGTATAATATAATGAAAGTTTTGTATTTCTTTCCTATGAGATAGTAAAATAGGAATAATAATAATAATTATTGTGTGTGTGTGTGTGTGTATATATATATATATATACATATATATATACATGTGTATATACACATAGATAAGGTTTATGATAGAATAGGTTTACTAAAAGGTATAATAAAKTTGTTAAATCATTTAATTCAAAAGCTTATATATATAAGCTTTTGAGTATATATACACATATGTGTATATGTACACACATATATGTGAACATATATATTAACTTTTGAGTTAAATGATTTAATACAACATATTTACTGTACCTTTTAGCAAACCTATTTAATCTTAGAATATATACCTTTTGCTCACAGAAAAACAAAGTTAATAATCTTAATGCTGATCCAGCATTAATTATTATTGAAATTTAAGAATGGATATGTTTTGCTGATTTAAAATGCATGTGCATTTGGCTTTCTGTATCTGTAAGTTCCACATCTGTGGATTCCACCAATCATGAATTGAAAATATTTTTTAAAAAATCACATCTGTACTGAATATGAATAGACATTTTTATCATTATTCCCTGAACAATACAATAACTACTTACATCTCATTTACAATGTAGTAGGTAATATAACTAATCAGGAGATTATTTAAAATATGTGAGAGGATATGTGTAGGTTATATGCATATACTCTGCCATTTTATATACGGGACTTGAGCATCCATGGATTTTGGTAACCATGGGGGTCCTAAAACAAATCCCTGGCAATTACATCTGAATTTAAGTTGCATTAAGCTTAGAGACTGGAACAAGGAGATCAGAGACTTGGAAATAATGAGTTCACTCATATTCAGAAGAGAATTGGGGAAAATTTTTCCTTTAATTTTTGTGGGGGGAAGTCTAACGTATAAAAATTAAATGTGGTATTTGCTCCCAAGTGAATCCTGCTGGCACCCACAGCATATTACTCCTCTTAAAGTAGGACAGAATCCTTTATTTCCCTTACACTTTGCATAGACCTTTGGAGTGAGCCTCTGTGCACTCAGCATTTGCTTTCTTCATGATCTATGTATCAGAAGAATCATGATTATTACTATTTCATGACATTTATTTTAATAATAAAATGTATAGATGTAAAGGGACCTTGAAATACCAAGAAACTGTTTCATTCATTGGACCACAAGTTAACTTTATAATTGACAGGAGTAGGGTCGGTGATATGGATTTGTATGGAGACATTAAGAAAAATAATGACGTTAGATGTATAATATTCTTTTCCTATAACTCTTTTGCTTCTACCTGAGGAGCACTTTCTTTTTGTACTGGGGATTGAACCCAGGGGCACTCAACCACTGAGCCACAAATTCAGCCCTTTTTATATTGTATTTAGAGACAGGTCTCACTAAGTTTCTTAGGGCCTCACTAGGTTGCTAAGGCTGGCTTTGAACTCACAATCTTCCTGCCTTAGCCTCCCAAGCCACGGGGAAGGGCACCTCATTTGTGCTAGATAATTGGTCATTTTAAAGTTCCCAAACTTGGAGGAATCTAAACTACATCACATTCCTTAAGAAGTTAATTTACCTGAAACTCAGGAATTCTTCTTTGTAACCCTTTCAGTATCAGTTGGTCCAAGCTGTGCTCCTGTTATCATTTCATATATATATATATATGAAATGCTTCTAAGAATATATATATATATATATATATGTTGTAGTTAGACACAATGCCTTTATTTTATTCATTTTTATGTGGTGCTGAGGATCGAACCTAGTGCCTCACACATGCTAGGCGAGCACTCTACTGCTGAGCCACAACCCCAGCCCTCATCATTTCATCTTAATCACCATCCCCTAATATGTATTTACTGTGGAGGATTCCTGTGTTATGCCAGGGAAATGCTTCTAAGAATAGAAGTATGCTACATGTCCTGGGTCAGAATTAAAACAAAATCAACAATAATTCCTAGGAGCCCCCAGAATTACATATCATTCCCTTTCCTTTCTTCCCTTTCAACTCATTTGGCAAAGATTGAAGATGACACAGAAGGGCACTCCCACCTCAGGTAGCCAGGGTGCCATGTGGTCTGTTCCCAGAGTTAATTAGTCTTCTTCTGAAGGACCAAGGAGAGGCTCTGTTATGACAAGGCACATATACCTTACTGTGTTTTTCTGATATGATTCGATAATCTTAAAAATACAAGAATGAGGGAAGAATGAGGAAGGAGTGCACCAAACAAATGTGGATATGTGACCCAAATGGGAAAATTGAAACATATATACAAAACACAGATGAAAGGAGAAGAGTATGGTAGAAAGTAGGGAAAAGGCCTCAGCTAGTCCAAATTAAGTTAAATGGAAAGGGATGTGGAACCACTGTGACTCAGATTTGCCTCCCAGTTCCCCTGCTGGCTACTTCTGTGATGTGGGACCACTGTCCAGATTCGACTAAGCTTGCCATTGCTGCTTACCTATGAAATGAGGGTAATACCTACCTTGTATGGTTCTTGTGGATCTGGAGATAAGTAGGTCAGGCTTTCAGTGGTGCATAATATATCCTCTGATAGTTTTGTCTGAGTCTTATAACTTATTAAGAGTGGCTGGCATGGTAGTACCCACCTGTAATCCCAGTGGCTCAGGAGGCTGAGGCAGGAGGATCGTGAGTTCAAAGACAGCCTTAGCAACCTAGGAAGACCCTAAGTAACTTAGCAAGACCCTGTCTCTAAATAAAAAATTAAATGGCAGGGGATGTTGCTGAATGGTTTAAGCACCCTTGGGTTCAATTGCTGGTATACCCTGGTATAAAAAAAAAAAAAAAAAAGCGGAGTGGGGAATGGCATGCTAAATGTATCACCTTAACTTTATGGTCTTCCAATTCTATTAGAAAACTTATTTACTATTTATAATGCATATCTGGGTGGCATTTTCTCTCTGTTTATTATCTTTAGTAGATATATAAGTCTGATCATATATGAAGACGTTTTTAGATGATAATATTCTTGGTTTATGTATTTTATCTTTATTCAAGAATCTCAAAACGTGAATTTCCAAGATTTGATGCAGAATTWAATATCTCTGATAACCCTCCAATCCCCATCTTCGTTCAAGATAAGACATTTATCTTTGTCAGACTCCCAGAAGAGAATGCCAGTTCTCAGTTATCTCAAAGTGATCGTCATTCCTGTAAGTGTAAGCTAYTATGTCACAGAGTTATGTATTTCATTTTTATAATTTATTTAAGCAACTATTTATAATTTTATCTGATGATAAACATAAATATTGCCAGTCAGAATGGGGCACTGAAAATAAATAAATGAATTTACTAATTTTTACACCCTACAAGTGTGTAAAGAAGTAAGCTCTTGACATACAATTGGAGTGAGTAAACACTTGTTGAGTGAATAAATAGCTAGAGATGATTTTATTTAAAATAGAGGAAAGCTGCCATAACCCAGTTATTTTGGGAGAAAGCAAGTTTTAGTTAATGAAGTTTTTCTTCTAGAACAAATTGAAAAGCACATACTTTTACTTTGAGTGTGTTTGTGAAGTAAGAGTTATGGTTGTTAAACTGTTGTCACGTTGAGTCGCTAACATTCTGCTTTACAAATTGGATAAGCATTGCTTCTAATTGTGGATGCTAGGATGCAACATTACAGGGTTGAGAGGAGCATGGGATGGGGAACATTCTCCTAGAGACATAGGACCCATGGCATGTCACTTAGCCATGTGTAAAGTGGGAGTGAGAGTGACATTGCCTATGGAGCTGGGAGCGGAGCCGTTGATGCTGATTTTCTATCTTAATTAAATACTTCTGCTGGAAAATTAGTCTCTTCTTTAAGAAAGTTGGGTAAATGTTTTCTTCAGAGAGGCATTATAGTGCCTTTTCGTTAATAATTGTGTTATTGAGTAAATTATACCTATTACTGCATAGTACAAAAACCTGAGACCAGATTCATAGTGGGCTAGAATTTCAAAGATGCGAAAATGTACATCTTAGAATCAATGAAATATAGTGTACCTATTGATGTAGTGGATGTAGAGAGAGTGAAAAAAGCAGACAGCAAAATAGCACAATCCTGTATGTGCTAATGAAAATAAAATGTTGAGAGACTTTTGGAGATTTCTGCTCTGGCAGGCTAAGGTTTGGCTCAGGCTAAACTTAAGTTTGGTCATTTTCTAAAAATAATCTTCCCTTTATCTGAGAAATTAAGGGTTCAGTGAGCAACTAACTTAGCCTTTCTAGAGCAGGTGATCACAATGCCTGGGCTTTTTAATTCCCCCATGATTCTTTTCCTATTAGTGAATTGCACAAAGCCTAGAATGTTCCTACATAAATTTTTGGTTACCTTCTGTCCCATGAGAAAAGTTTGCCTTTTTGTACCATTGCTGAKACTGAAGGAAGCCTGTTTGTCGGTGTTCCATGTGAAAGGAGAAATTTTAAGTGGATGTCATTGTGGTCAGTCATCTGAGTTCTAAAGAGGAAGGGCAGGCTGTTGCCCCACTCTCCATTTGGATGGTTATGTCCACGAGCTTTCATTTCCACATTCATACATACATAGTGAGTGGTCAAACTATTTAATAGCTGGTAGTCAGCACAAGCTCCATTGGAATGGTTTCTGCCTTGCCAGGGCTAATGTTTTAGGGACTGAATCATAGAGAGGTCTAGTGGGAAGGAAGGAAAGGTTGGGGGATATTGTGGTGTTAGGGGAGTGTCCATTTCCAGCCAATGAGGAAACATCTCAATATCTTACACTGATATGGGCCAGTTAGATATTGCTTTGAATATAATGTCTATCTCATATGAGTATATTAAGATAACATTTAAAGCATATAAATTCTCAAATTTTCTTTCTAACCTTTAGTACCACAGGGACTTAAAACAGAAAGTTTTATATTACTAATTCTGTTACACATATTGTATTCTTGCTCATTTCTTAAGTTCGGCATTCACAAATTATCAGTGAATATATAGTGAGCTTATTATAATTAGGAGCCATCCTAGCCATTGGTTGATCTCTCTGTTGAGGGTGGAAAGTCTGGAACCCTTTTCTCAATTCTCTTTCCTGTTGCTCTGGCTAATGTGAGGAATGAGACAGGTATTCCCATGGTGAGCTTGTGTTGCATTTGGGGAGATATTTTTCTAGGCCCCTTAGTGGGAATTCTGATTTAATTTCTCCATAGAAACAGTGTTATGATTTGGTAATTTTCTGTGTTAATTTTTTTCTTTTTCATTAACAGATTTATATTCTGCAGTTAGAAGTTTACTGGAAGAAAATGACTTTAAATGCGCAAAAACATCACAATTTATTGCATTTAGGAGGTAAAACATTTACAATATTTTAATGTTTTTCATCTAGCTTTTGAATTTAATAACTTGTTAATGTAAATCTCATTTGAATGGGGGAGACTCTTGTAATTCATCACTGTTAATTCTCATTTTTACTTCAGAATATTTCTTTGTTAGACTAGTCAGAGGTCACTTTCTAAACCTGGCTCTTTCTACCAAATATTATATTTAGACATTCCCAGAAAAGCTAAGTGGAACAAAAGTTTATGTGAGAATGTAAAATTGTAAAATACTTTTGCTGGAAAAAGTCCTGGAAACTTCTTATAGAATCCAGTATGTCAAAATTGTTTATAACACAGATGATCATATAATAGACACTGGTAAGGTGACCCTTGCATTTTTCTGTGTTTCAGGCAGGACTGTAACCTCATCAATGACTGCTGTTGCAAGCACTACACAGGCCACCTCATCAAGTGAGCATCTGCAAGAACTGACAGTCCTCCCTTGAGTCCCTGTCTGTTCTTTTGTTTGCTGTAGCCAAGTATACTTTTTTTCCTCATCCTCATTTGTGAAATATAATGATTTCTTCAGTTAAATATATATTCATAGGAATTGACATGTATGGTAGTGAGTGTATTAAGAAGAAAAATAAGGAATGAAATTTTCCTTATGGTTTCAAGATTGGCAACCTTCAGCTCTTCCAAGATGAGCATGAGGAGTCAAGGAGAATTTCTAGTGCTTCCAAGAACCTGAGCAACCTGGTGCCTCTGGAGAGTGCTTTTATAAATGGTCAGCAGAGAAATAGGAGTGCAGAAGGGCCCTCTGTTTTTACATAGGGAAAATTAATTCATTTATCTTACATTTACCAACACCTACTCATTACTTAGTGTAGAGATCCTAGGGCCATTTAAGGCACAGGAGCTCCTGTGTGCTGAAGAAAGATGCATACACACACAAAAAAACTGTGTAAGGTAGCCTAACAGTGGGTTAAAAACAAAGGGTTGGATCCTTGGGTCCCTGTAACTATTATCTTGGAAGGTAATTTCACCTTTTCATGTATATAAATGAAGACTCTTTATATAGAATTTCCTTTACCAAGCTGGAATAAGAATGAATGAGATAATAAACCTAAAACACCACAGTAACTGGCATATAACCAATATTTATTCAATTTGCTGCTATTATTCTAATAGATGGTCATAACTATTTTTATAGAAATATGTATAAGTGATCTAAAACCTGAAATAAGGTTGTAATAGGTAGTAAAAGGAGAAGAGAGAATTATTTTCAAAGACAGAATCAATGAGTTTTTTAGTAAATTTTAAAAATAGGAGGGGAAAGAGCATATAAGCTAAAATTACTAACTTGAAAAAATTGGCTAGGAAATGGCATTGAGTTTGAGGTGATACAGTGCACTTATAAATTATCACATGATAATTGTGAAAATCTGATTTTCTTGTTGACCTTTGGAGAATGGAAGCAATATAAAAAAAGTGTGGAAATTATTTTGATAATTGAATCAGTTCTAAGTAGGAGCTACTGTTGAAACAAAATAAAATTGAAATTTTCTAAGCTCTGATTATATATTATCATTTTCCAACCCAGAGACCATCGGAAGAGACTCATATTTGGAGTTGGTGATAAAATTTGTTGTACCAGGAATGCATACCTCTCCGAGTTACTTTCTAGAGATACCTTCGGAAGTCAGCCTGATAATGATCTAGAAGCCAGTGGAGAAGGCTTTTGTGGGACTCCTCGTGGTTTTGCCAAGAATAAGCATGACTTTGAAAGTGGTATTCGCCTGTGCAATGGAGAAGTATTTTTCATAACTGAAGTAAGTGTCAGAAAAATAATACCTTTTTACCAATTAGAACTATGGTTTTTTTTTTTTTTWAAATATCTTTGTTTTATTTATTTATATGTGGTGCTGAGGATTGAACCCAGGGCCTTGCATGTGCTAGGTGAGCGCTCTACCACTGAGCCCCAGCCCCAGCCACAAGAACTATAGTTTTTATTGTCCTATAATTGAAATGTCTTGTCTAGTTTTAGTAGCAGAATAATGCTGGAATAATTGAGAATAGTTGAGTTGGAAAGGGTTTCATTTTATATTTTTCCAGAAGACTTTGTAAGGACCAAGACAAAACTGAGAGTGAGACACTTAGATTTTGCAAAGCATCATGTCCTTGGTTGGCAGCTTAAATATAGAAACTATAGAAAGCTCACCAAGGAGACTGGGGATATAGCTCAGTTGGTAGAGTGCTTGCCTCTTATGCACAAAGCCCTGGGTTCAATCCCCAGCACTGCCAAAGGAAAAAAAAAAAAAAAAAAAAAAAGCTCGCCAAATTTGTCTCATTGTAAAGACCTCTTCTAAACTTGTATTTTTAAAAAGCTGTGAGGAAAAAATACTTTGAGAACTTTCAAGACTGAAAATTTCTATTTGTGTTTGTTAAAGTATTTGAGTGAGGATATATTCAATTAGGTATACATTTTAAGTCTTTTGAAAAAAAAAAAATCCGGGGTGCTGGGGATTGAACCCAGGGCCTCGTGCATGCTCACTAAGCACATGCTCTACCACTGAGCTCCACCCCCAGGCCCAAGCCTCTTGAAATTCGTAACTGTAATGAATGTACATTCTACTTTTAAGGTGCTTATATTTTCTGTTCAACCCAAAGAGGATATCTTTTCTGTGTGTTTTTGAAGACATACAAAGTAATTCTTTATTTTGGTTGCAGGATAAAACTGATGTAACTTTTGGAATGAGAAGGTATTTGACTATTAATAACATGGCTGGCTTGGAAGTAACAGTGGATTTTAAGAAACTAATGAAATATTGTAACATAAGACATGCATGGGCAAGAACTATTCATACTTTTCAGGTAAGAGTGGATTCTTACAAAACTATTTAAATCGAGAACCAAGTCATTGAGAGCCATTCTTTGTTTTCTTTTTAATTTTATTTGCTTTTATTTTTATTTTTATTATTTTAGCAAGATTGGGGATTAAAGCCAGAGCCTTGTACATGCTGAGTACTCTTGCTACCAATGAGCTACATGGGGTCTCCTTTCCCTCCTACACTCTTCATGTGGCTTGGTGTGGCCTGTGCTGCTCTTGTCTTCATTCAGAATTTTATATTTTGTTTATTGTGGATGTTTTCTGCCTTATTTTTTATTTCAAAAAATCTTACTAGATTTATTTTGTTTTATGTTCCATATTTATGTTGCTTTTTAATGCACTTTTGTAAATCATTAATTTTATTTTTTTCCACGTACTTGTAACCACCATTCTTTATTTATAGTGTCTGGTTTTTAAACTTTTGTTATATTTTTAAGCAATTTGATGTTTGCTGTCAGAGGTGTGTGTGTGTGTGTGTGTGTATGTGTGCATGTGTATATTCAAATACATATGTACATTTTTTATTCCATTATTAAAGGATATTTTAGGTATCCATTCTTTGTCATTATAGGTAACATTAGAATAATACTTTTATACCTAAAGTCCATGCAGTCATCTCTAAGTCTTTGATTAGGGAAACTTTGTCACTGCATGCCATTTTTTTTTTAACATTTTACATTTTTTTCAAAAATATTTTTTTAGTTGTCAATGGATCTTTATTTTATTTATTGATACATGGTGCTGAGACTTGAACCCAGTTCCTCGTAGATGCTAGGAAAGCACTGTGCCACTGAGCCCCGGACCCAGCCTCTGCATGCCATCTTTGAAGTTTGTTATTGGGTTTCCACAAGACACTTGTGGACCTGTGAGATCCAAACACAGCAGCATGTATAGCAAATGCGAGTTCTTAGGTCATGAATAACATGAGTCCGAGAGATGGGTTCATAYGAGTGCTCTGACCAACAGAGGGTGCATGATGTGTGAGAGAGTTGTGTGGACTCATCTGTCTTCCCGATTTGTGAGCTTTCTGAACCCATTCTGCAGTGCTAAGTCTTCATTCCTTGTTATTGCCTCTCAGGGGTCCGAGGAGAACACAGTGGTCTATGTGGTGGGGAAGGCGGGCCGCCAACACTGGCAGCATGTCTACACTGCAGTGACCAGAGGCCGCTGCAGAGTGTACGTCATTGCAGAAGAGTCTCAGCTCCAGAATGCGATCAGGAAAAACAGCGTTCCCAGGAAAACTCGTTTAAAACACTTCTTGCAAAACAAGCTCTCCACTAGCCAGGCCTCTGTAGCAGACCTTCCATCCCAGTTGAAGAACTCTGGAGACGGTGGACGTCCCAGCACACCACCTTCAACATCACCCCTCCCTACAGTCTCATCCAGCACAATCACACCCGATGTCGCCAGGAGCAAGTCCTCTGTAGCTGAAGATGGGACATTTGCGTGGGATGGAGAATGGCAGCTGTCATCATTTGATGAAGTGGGTGCAGATGAGGATCTATCACAATTGCGAGGGTCCAAGAGAACCTGTGGTACAAATGACTCCGAAAGTCCAAAAAAAGTTCTCATGGTAGGAGTGGCTGTCAAATGTGCTCATATTTTATTTCATTTACTAATGACTCTGTATTTCTGTTAGCTTTGCATTATGCTGTCAGGTTTAAACACAGTTGCTTTCTCATCTTTGTCAAAATTCCCCTCTTCTGCTCCTAATTGGTCCTTCCTACTCATTCATGAGGCCTCCACTCTATGTAGCCTTAATTAATGGGAGGTGATATTCTGGAAAAAAATTACTGTTACTCCACACCTTTCCCAACGTCTTCCTTGTCAATTTTTCTCTCTCTTCCCCACCCCTGCTTTGCAGGCCATAATCTGACTTTATCTCACCAACTCTGTTGAAATGGCTTATTCCGGTCCTCGGGGCCTTATCTCAGGTCTTGTTCTTCTTGACTTTCCCTTTGACACATTATAGTTTTAACTCCTGCTGTGTCTCCTTCCCCTGATTACAGGGGTACCTTATGCAACATCCCCCTTACCTCAATGTCCCCCACCCCCCACCTTATTTCCTCACCCCTTATTTCCTGTACCTATGGTATATTCCCAAGGCTTAGTTTTTTTTTTTATCTTTGTGAACACACCACATTCTCACCACTAGAGCCAGCCCCTTTGCACTGGTGTCTCATTCAGTGAAGCTTCAATTGTCTATTTCTTCCCAAGTACTGGGAACTCAAAGATAAGCAGGTGACAGTTCTCCCTCTTTCACTGATTGTGGAGACAGACAGCTAGGTAAGTGACTTGGTGATTCACTGATTGCTCTGACACCAGGAAGCAGTTAATGAACCTGTTCCCTAATCTGTTTCTTTGTTCCTAGAGATTGAATTTTCTGGAACCACAGCCCAGCCTCTTACTCTGTCTTCCATTTTCTCCATTTCAATCACCAGTCTCCTCGTGATACAGCTTAATATCTTGGAGTCACCTCAGACTCACCTTGCCTTCACTCTACCTCCAGGGAGTTAGCTTTATTGCAAAATATCTTTCTCAGGGATTTCTTCCATTCCTTCTAGTCTGTCCTATTTTAGGTCCTTATCTTATCTTGGGTGATTTGTGACCTTGCTACCCTCCTCTGCCTGTTCCCATTCTGCTAATCCACTCCCCACCCTGTGATCACATTATCAGGCTTCTGGGTACCTAGCTAATTTTTTGTTCAAAAGCCTTCAGTGACTTCTGGTGCCTGCAGTATAAACTCTCAAATGTTTGGCTTGACGTTTGAAACCTCTCTTGGTTTCATTCCAGCTTTCCCAGCATCATTTCATTTCTCACTGTTCTTTTTTTTTGGCTTTAGTCAAGCTAGTGTCTAAACTGATTAAAACAAATGAGACTTTTTCTTCTCTCTTCCTTTTGGCTCTTGCGTTCTAGAGATGGACACTTTACAACTTGCTGACTAGATATAAAGGGTATGAGGAAAAATAATCCAGGATGGACCCTGGATATCTGGTTGAAACAATTTGGGGAGTTGACTGTGCCATTTCCTGAGATGAGAAAGACATGAATAGAACCTGTTTAGGGAAATGCGGGTCTCCTGTGGCAGGCTGTGTTTAAGGTGCCAGTTAGACACGTGGGATTATAAATTACTTCCAAGCATAGTTCCAGCAGGAGCTTAAGAATTGCTTAATGTGCAGCAGCAGACTTAGTAGCATGAGTGTCATCTTCCAAAGTTAAGGGGCCACACTAGGAGCTCAGAGAAGAAAGTGTTCATGTAACCTCCTGTCCCAGACTGAGTTCTGAAGGTGTAATAGTCATGTCCTCTGTTCCCCAGATAGGGGACATTTCACTCTTCTTGAAAGAGTCTGCCTGACAAAGGACTCAGCCCCTGAAGGGTCAGTTATAATATAGAACAGCATGGCTTGAGYACAGGGTGCAAATGAGAGTTGAGGCTGAGGTCACAGGAAGATTCAAGAAGGACAGGCAAAGGGTCTCCTACAGGGATTGTCCATTCTTCTGATTGTAGCAAGAACAGTAAAGCACTTTATGTGGTCCATGAATTGAAGTTTAGGAAGATGACTTTGATTATGATTTCGTGGATGGTGTTAGTGAGAGACTTTGGGACAAGTACCTATCATAAAGAGTATTTCAGTAGCCTGGACAAAATGATTAGCTTGAAGTCAACTAGCAATGGCAACGGGGAAGAGATGCTAAGGGACAGAGCTGATGGGACCTAATCTATATATCTGCCTTGGGGTGAGGATGACTCTTAGACTTCCGGTCTGGGTATGCAGGTGAATCCAGGTACTATAAATCAGGGTCATGAGAACGGGCAGAGGGGCAGCTTTGGTCAGAAAACTAAAATGGACATAACCCACCCTATTTTGGCAATATTAGAATCCCCGCCGATTCATAGTTTCATTTTATACCCAAGATCAACTGTTTAATCTGGAATTTCTATCTCAGGAAACATCTTGTTCTGAAAGTAAACTTGCCATCACTTGCAAAGCCCCTCAGCCTCGCTTTTGTGGTACTAGAAATTGAACCAGGGGCCTCTCCCATGCGAGGCAAGCGCTTTGCCTCTGAGCTSCATCCCCAGCCCTTTTAAAAATTTCATGTTAAGACATGATCTTGTCAAGAATCCCTAGCTAGCCTTGTACTTGAGATCTCCTGCCTCAGCCTTCTAAGTARTTGGGTTTACAGCTGTGCACCACCACACCTGGCAAAGATTTGTCATTTGTTAATACAATGACAAGGGCTGCCCACAAACTGTTTCTTCACATTCCTTCATAAGAATTACACCTGTATTTAAATCCTACCAGGATAGTCATGCTTTGCTTAACTACAAGGATGAGTTTTGAGAAATGGGTCACTAGATGATTTCCTTGTGCAATGTCACAGTGTACATAAACCAGCCTGCATGCTGTAGGTCAGTCACTTGATGTGGCCCTTTGATGCTGTCAAGAGGCACAAAAAGAGCTGGGTGTGATGAGAATGCTTGTAATCCCAGTGGCTCAGGAGACTGAGGCAGGAGGATCACAAGTTCAAAGCCAGCCTCAGCAATTTAGCAAGGTCCTAAGTAAATTAGTGAGACCCTGTCTCAAAGTAAAACATAAAAAATAGTACTAGGGATGTCACTCAGTGATTAAATGCCTCTGGGTTCAATTCCTAGAGGGAGAGAGGGAGGGAGGGAGGGAGGGAAGAAGGAAGGAAGGAAGGAGAGAGATACAAAGCATGAGGTGGCTAAAACTATTGCTGGCCTGATATGACATCCCATTGTATAGTAGACTTTTAGTTTTACTAAAAATTTTTACTTAACAACTTTTAGTAAGTAGAGTGCACTTTAAATAACAATAAAAACTAGTAAATACATAAACTGGTAACACAGTTATTATCAAGTATTATATAGTCTACATGGTTATATGTGCTATACTTTATAGGACTGGCAGTGTAGAAGGTTTGTTTACACCAGTATCCCACAAATACAGGGATAATATATTGCAAGAGGCAGTGGGAATTTTTCAACTCATTATAATCTTATGGGACCACCTTCTTATATAGAGTTTGCTGTTGGCTAAAATATCATTATGGGGTGCATAGCAGTACTAATGTCTAATGTCTGAGCCCTTCTCAGATGAAAGCTTTAATGCTTCTTAATGGATTTATAGTTTTGGGTTTTGAAAAAAGTCCTAAAAGAAATTTTAACTTGATATTTTGCCTGTCTCCATTCCCCAAAAATGAAATGTACCTTTAGGTAAAAGCATCTCAGTAAACATTGCAAAATTTATCGGAAGCAGTGATTTCCAGATTTTTTTTTTAAAAATCACATATTAACATAAAAAATAAAGTAAGGAGGCATAGTCATATAATTTTTTAAAATAATTTTTAAAAATTTGTTTTAATTAGTTATATATGATATATTAGTCTTGAATAAAGAATAGTCCCTGTGTTAGTCAAGGTCTCCAGAAAAGCAGAATTATTAGGAGACACATACATGTAGTATGTGTATTTATTTGTGTATATATACACCTATTAAGTATTGCATACTTAATAGACTAAAATGTAGTCTAAAGAAATTATGTGTGTGTGTGTGTATCTGCCTGCATATCTCTCAGAGTGGAATTTATCTCAAGGAATTGACTCATGTTATTAAGGAGACAGGCAAGTCTGAAATTTGCAGGCTTAGATTTTGATCATGCTACACCTTGAGTCTGAAAGCTGATGTAATCCCTTTTCCTTGCGGGAGGACAGTCTTTTCTATTAAGACCTACAACTCWTTGGACCAGGCCCACCCACATTATAGAGGATAATCTGCTTGACTGGAAGTTAGATGATTTCAGTGTTACTCTCATCCAAAATATAATCTTCATAGAAACAACTAGAATAATATCTGACAAAATATCTTGGTGCTTTGGTTTTAGACAAGTTGACATAAAATTAACCATCACAGTGCTCTAAAATGAACTATTCAGTATCATAAAGGATGAATTGTGTTTACTTTGCTCGTTTTCCTCTGGTGGTGAAATGTCTTGACCATCCTGGCCTACTGACTGGCTCTTGGGAATTAGCAGTTATATGAAGAATATGACCATAGCATTGCAGTATTCCTTCTTAACTGCATGCAGATCTGTCTTCTTGAACATACAACCTGGGCATTTGTACAGGGCTGTGCACTTGGGGACACACACATTTTTAATGCTCAGTCATAGTCATATTGAAATTCTTCATGTTTTAACAAGGGGCTTTCATTTTAATTTTTTACTGTACAGCCAAATTATATGGCAAGCCCTGTCCATACCTTTAGGAGGTTGACGCATAGTCATTTCTACATAAAGACCCAGAGCTAGGTGCTGGCAATAATATGGTGAGCACAAACATACATGACTCTCCCAGGAGCGACAGATGATGGTTCTGGTCGTTCAGGTCTCCCCAGGGTTGGGAGAAATGTATTATTTCTCTTCAGAAGCAGTGAGGGGGAATAGAAGTACATAGGACAGACTGACTACATTTTTATAAAACTTGTTTTTATTGTTGTTCTAACAGGTGGAAGAATCATCTCCACAAGTGTCTTCTAGACTTCAGAATTTGAGACTAAACCATTTAATCCCCAAGCAACTTTTCAAACCCACGGACAATCAAGAAACTTAACTTTCCCTGGGATTTCTCAGAATAATTACCTTTCTTTGTTTCAAGACAAATATGTACATTTTACCTTCAAAGTTTCAAGATAAAAGAGGATGCCTATAACTGGAATTTTGCTTGTGTTAGCAGATGTTTAAAATCCACTTGATCAAAGAAAACTAATGATTTCAGCGTCTATCATCATGAGAACTGGTAATCATGGACATAAACAAGGGGAAAAGATACTATATGTTAAAAAAAAAAAAACACCTGTATTTTAAAACATGATTTGTTTTCTAGAATAATGCCTTATTAACTGCCACGATCATTGCTGGTTGCCTTTGCCAACAGTTGAAGCTGCGGCAAAGAACTGTGATTGCATCTTTTGGTGTCACTGACACACAGTCGAGGACGTCAGGTCTTCAGCAATGTGGTCCTTCACACGCTGTTGCTCACTCCATCACTGCTGCTTGGGCCCAGCACACCTGGGACTTTTCCTGGAAATACCTTCTGAGTTAGGAACTCGTTGTTCTAAATATATCTCATGTTAGGAAATTTCTTTTGGAGCAATTTGATTTAAAAACATTTTATTGTTAAATGATACTATGGTTTGAATGTGTTCCCCAAACTTCATGTGTTGGAAACTTGATCCCCAGTGTAACAGTACTGGGGGTAGGGCCTAGGTCACCAGAAGGTTAGTGATTGTGGGAATGGGCTCCTGATGAAAGGTATGTCCAGCCCTGTCTTGCGTGTTGGAGTGGTTCTCTTGTCCTTCTGCCTTCTACCATGAGATGACAAAGCAAGAACACCCTTGTCAGATTTATTACCTTAATGCAGGCACACCTAGCTTTATCCACTCTGCTTTACTGACCTTCTCAAACACTGTGTTATTTACAAGTTGAAGTTCTGTGGCACCCCTGTGTGGAGCAAATATATTGGCATTATTTTTCCAACAGCTCAGATGATCCAATTTTTAGCAATAAATTATTTTTTTTAAAAATTGTGTATGTTGTTTGATATAAAGTTATTGTATACTTATTAGACTAAAATGTAGTCTAAGGAAATTTTATATGAATGGAATAAAAAAAAATCATGTGACTTTTTTTGCAATACTCTCTATTGCAGTGCACTGAAACCAAATCCACAATATTACTGAGACTACTGTGTTGAACTTCCCAGCCTCCAGAACTGTGAGAAATAAATCTATTTTTTAAAATATTACCCAGTCTGTGGTATTCATTTATAGCAACACAAAATAGTCTAAGACAAATGTAAAAAAAAAGTAAAGAGGAAAGATGAACTTGTTATCCCAATTTTCAAAATATCTTTGTTGCAATCCAAACATTTGAAATGTACTATGTAGTAACTTTTAGTTTTGTAACTTTAAGTATATTCACAGAATTGTGCAACTTTCATCACAATTTTAGAACATTTTCATATCCTCAAAAAACATGACATGCCCTTAGCCAAGAGCCACTAAACCACTCCATCCCTAGGTGACCATTCATCTAGTTGTCTTTGTGGGTTTGCCTGTTTGGGACAGTTCCTATGAATGGAATCATATAATAAGTGGTCCTTTGTTAGCAACTTCTTTGACTAGCTGTTATGGTTTAGACATGGTGTCCCCCAAAAGCTCATGTGTGAGATAATGCAGGAAGGTTTGGAGAAAAAATGATTGGGTTATAGCATTAACATAATCAGTAATTAATCCCCACTGGGATTAACTGGTAGCTGGAGGCGGATGGGTGTGGCTGGAGGTAGTGGTTCATTGGGGGTGTGGCTCTGGGGTATGTATTTTGTATCTTGAGAGTGGAGACTCTCTCTGCTTCTTAATCAGCATAATGTGAGCTGCTTCCTTCTTCCACACAATCCACCATGACGTTGGCCTCATCTTAAATTCCGAGAAATGAAGCTGACCTTTTATGGATGAGGACCTCTGAAACCATGAGCCCTCAAATAAACCTTTTCTCCTCTACAGTTGTTCTGGTCATATCTTTTAGTCACAGCAGCAAAATAGCTGATTAATACACTAGCATAATGTTTTCACATTTCATCCTATTACACCAGTGCCTCATCTATTATTTATTGCCAAATAATATTCCATTTATAGCTATAGCAAATTAAATTTGCCAATTAATTGGTTGATAGAAATTTGGGTGGTTTCCACTGTACCTAATGCTGCACCTAATGTTCATGTACAAGTGTTTTTTATGGACGTATGTTTTCATTTCTTTGGGGTATATAACCCAGAGTGGAATGTTTGGGTCATCTGGTAATTATATTTAACCATTTGAGGAACTGTTAAATTTTATATTCTCCCTAGCAATATTAAAATTCCAATTTCTGCATATTCTCTCCAACATTTGTTTCCCCCCCCCTCCAATGTCRGAAATCAAACCCAAGGCCTTATGCATGCTAGGAGAGTGCTCTGCCACTGAACAATCGCCCCAGCCCTTAATTTCTTGATAATGGGCATCCTAGTGGGTATGAGTAGTATATCATTGAGGTTTTGATTTACATTTTCCTTATGGCTAAAGATGTCCAACAATTTTATGTATTTGTAGTCATTTATATATCTCTTTGGAGAAATATCTATTCACATCTTTTGCCTGCTTTTCCGTTAGGTTTCTTTAAGTTATCAAGATGTAGGAGTTCCATATAAATTCTATGTATAAGTCCTTTATCATAAAAGTGATTTGTAAAATTTTTCTCTTATTCCATGGAGTTTTACTTTATTCTTTTCTCTGTCTCTTTTTAAAAGAAAAAAAAATTTTTGAGGCTGTGTACATGTTAAGCAGGTGCTTACCACTGAGCTACAGCTTCTAACTCGTYTTTTACTTTCTTGATGGTGTCCTTTGAAATATACATCTTTAATTCTAATGACGTTCAGCATTTTGATCAGCTTTTTTGCTGCTGTGACCTAAAGATCTGAGAAGAACACTTTTAGAGGAGGAAAGGTTTATTTGGGCTCACGGTTTTAGAGGTCTTAGTCTATTGATGGCCAGTTCATTTTCTCTGGGTCCCAGGTGAAGTGGGACATCATGGCAGGAGGAGCTTGGCAGAGGAAAGCAGCTCAGGGCATAGCACCAGGAAGCAAAGAGAGACAGCTGCCCTCACCACAGACAAAATAGAAACTCCAAAGGTGCTTCCCCAGCAACCTACCTCCTCCAGCCACAGCCTACCTGACTTGGTTACCACCCAGTCAATCCCTATCAAAGGATTAATGCACTGATTAGGTTAAGACTCATAACCTAATCATTGCACCTCCAAACTTTCTTGCGTTGTCTTATACATGAGCTTTTGGGGGACACCTAATGTCTAAACCCTAACACCCAGCGTATCTATTTTTTGTTGTTATTGCTTATACTTTTGGTGTACAGCCAAGAAGCTATTGCCTTTCCAAAGGCATGAGGATTTACTCCTATTTTTCTTCTAAGCATTTAATCATTTTAGCTCTAACATGCCAAGACCTGTGCAACAGTTAATTCAGAAACTGGTGAGGGGCAATGGGGGATTAAGAAAGACACACAAATATTTAGAGAGAGAAAAATGGGATCAGGTGGGAAACTGAACACTGATAGAGAACAGCATCCCAGAGCTGGCCCCACATGTTTATTATATAGGTTCTGTCATTAAAAGGTTATTTGAAAGTTTCTACAAAGCAGACTTAAACTTTACAGCGCTGACAAAACAGTACAGCGATCTTGCTATGCTTAGAATCCTCTATCCCTAGGAGTTAGTGTCTGCATTTCAAGGTCAAAACTGATCAAACTCTGAGTGCTTATCCAAACTGACCAAGGACCAGAGTCGCCATAGCAAATGGGAAATGTTAACCTTTTACTTTTTGTGCAGGGGAATTCCAGCGCAAGCGCATCACAACCACAAGACCATCAGACACCTCGATTCATATCACTTCCCCCCACACTTACATCTGAGTTTTCATTAATTTTTGAGTTAATTTGTATATACAGTGTGAGGTAGAGATCCTGTTTCATTCTTTTGAGTGTGGATATCCAGTTGTTCCAGCTCCATATCTTGAAGGGATTATTCTTTATTGATTTGTCTTGGTACCCATGTCAAAAATCAATTGAATATAAATGTGAAAGGTTATGAATTCTCAGTTCTACTGATTCATATCCTTGTCCATATACCAGTATCATACTGACTTGGTTTTGAAATCTAGAAACATGAGTCTTCCAACTTTGTTGTTTTCTCAAAACAGTTTGGGTCATTCTAGGTTTCTTGCATTTTCATATGTATTTTAGGAACTACTAGTCACTTTCTGCAAATATRACAACTAGAACTTTGATGGGAGATTATGTTATGAAATATACAGAATTGGGGGATATTTCTACTTGAACAATATTGAGTCTTTTTTTAATATTTACTTTTTAGGTGTAGATCGACACAACACAATGCCTTTTATTTTTTTGTGGTGMTGAGGATCGAACCTGGGTCCCACCCATATTAGGCGAGGGCTCTACCACTGAGCCACAATTCCAGCCCCAATATTAAGTCTTATGATTCATGAATATGGAATGTTCTTCCATTTATTTAAGCCTTTTAAAAATTGTTGTTTTCAGTTATACTCTGAAAGTGTAACTTTTTTAAAAGTTACAATTCTTTTTTATTGTTTATTCCAAAGTATTTTGTTCTTTTTGATACTTATATAAGTGAAATTATTTTTTGAATTTATTTTTAGTTTATTCATTGCCACTGTACAGAAACACTATTTTTGTATATTGCTTGTGTATTTTCCAACTTCAATGTCAGCTGTTAGTTTTTCTTTGAAGCCCTTCCGTTTATCTAGATGGGGAGTTCTCTTTTGTTGCTAGTATGTGCTTATCATAAARGGATATTGAATTGTGTCAATAATTTTGTCCTTTGTCATGCTGATATGATATTACACCAGTCTTCTGGATATTAAACCAACCTTGTTTTCCAGAATAAATCCCACTTGGTCACAGTGTGCAATCCTTTTTATATGCTGCTGCATTCACTTTGCTAGTCTTTTGTTGAGGATTATATCTGTAATCATAAGAGTTACTAATCTGTAGTTTTCTTTGCCCGGTTTTGAAATCAGGGTAATAGTGATCACAACAGAATGGATTGAGAAGTATTCTTTTCTCTCCCGTTTTGGATGAGTTTGTGAAGAATTGGTACTGATTTTTTCTTTAAATGTTTGATAGAATTCACCAGTGAAGTCATCTAGGCCTAGGGCTTTTCTTTGTAGGGAGTTCAAAAGTACTAATTGAATCTTTTTTATTTACTGTAGGTCTATTTAGACTTTATATTCTATATTAGATTTCCATTTCAGAGAGTCAATTTTGATAGTTTGGATCTCTAGGAATTTATCCATTTTATCTTATTTATGCTGCTGTCACCCAGTTCATTCTATTATTCCTTTACAGTCTTTTCCATTTTCTTAAGGTTGGTGGTAAAGTTCCCCTTTCCTTCCTGATATTAATAATTTGAGTCAGTTCTCCTTTCCTTGGTCAGTGTAGCTAACAGTTGATCTTTTTAGTTTCAAGGATTTTCTCTACACTTTGCTCTTCTCTATTCCATTAATGTTAACTCTTGGACTTCATTACTCTTAGAAAGGGCTGTTTAGTGGGGGTGTATGCTGCCTTATGCTGAATGTTAGCCAAAGTTCAGGGACCTGTGGGAAGGAAGCTTACTATTTTTCTGGATGGCTCAGTGTGATACAAACCATTCAGTTAATCAGTTATGAAGCAATATGGAGAAGAAAGTTTCTTTGCAATACACCACACTTCCTGGAATACAAAGGTTGGAGGGTGGGGAAGAGGGCCGTTACTACCAAACTTATAGAAATAAAAGTAAAATTCCTTTAATTGGCTGTATTTCAGAGCACAGGGCTCAGGTAAAGTGTAACATTGTCAAAAAGAAATCTAAAATATTCTGTTTTCCTTAAAACACAGTAAAACTAATACTTTGTAACTGAATGTTCCAAAGGACACTTCTAGGAAACCATGATTTGAATTTAAAGCAAATATAGTTTAATCAGCATGGAAAGATTGTGGGGTCATTATCGCCATCTATCCTA